TATAGATATAGATTTTTTTTTTGTCTAGTATTGGTCAGCATGCAGCCTCTCAGTTCAGAGTTCCTCAGAGCTGATAATTAAATGTATCACAGAGAATCATGGTTGTGATGGATGAATAACAAATCAAGGCCATTATAAGTGTCCTTGTAGCGGTTGCCAAGTTTCCAAGATGACTGAAATGAATTCAGAATTTTAAGTGGGCTGATGAACCTCTTTGACAGTGACACTATAATTGGCAGGTAGCAGTGTGTTAGATTGATGGAAGTAAAAATGAAATGGGTATTGTGGTTTTTAAGAATGGCCATATGCAGGATAAAACGAGCCATACAGGCATTGGCCGTTCGAGCATGTTTATTTAAATTGTACCTGAAATAAAGATGGTTTAGACCAAATTTCAAGTGGAAACTAGTCCTCTGATTCAATTAAATAACATGCATAATCATAAGCGACAAAAATGTCGCAAGTGGATAAGGGCAAAACGTTTCATGTCTCAGAGGTTTTATTAAAAAAAAAAAAAAGCGTGGGACTGAAAGTCTGGAGCCCATTGACTTTTTGCCCACCCTTTAATCCTCACCTTGTGACTACTGCCTGTGACACGGTGCTAAAGTCCGAGTCTTTTACCACCCACTGCTTTGTGTTCACAGCCGGTGTCGTGATAGCCTGCCCTCGTCATCCATTTTTTTTTCCTCTACCTCACCCCTCACACCCTCCCCTTTAATGTTGCTCTGAGACAGTTCCAGCCAGTTTGTGGCGGCTGGGTTTAGACTGTCAAGGACTTGGCAGCCGTTTGACTGCTCTCCAGCTAGTTGTAGACCAGACGTTACCTGTTCTTAGAGCAACTCTGTGTGTGTGTGTGTTTCCTGCTGTGCAAGTTATTAAGTTTCCATTTGGGTGACATGTACTGAAGTTACAGTGAAATCAAAAGGTGTAGTGTTTTTTTACCGATAGAATAACAAATCCAGAATTACGGTCCCATCTTCTTTTAAAAGAAACCAAGTTACAGATAGGAATTTGCACAAGTCAAGATTTTTTTTAGAGAAGCTGTAGAAGGGTTTGTTTCAAAAGTAAAAAATAAATAAATAAAAATATGGCCCTACAATTTTAGTTTTTGGGGTGGGTGGAGCATCTTTTTCTCTGTCTGGATTAATGACCAAATTTTAGACCGATATAATAAATTGACTACGTAAAAGTCTTGTAAAGATACATGTTAGATCAGATGGTTGCCACTGTCAGGTGTCTTCCATATGATTGTGTTGGGTTCTTGGCCTACTCTACATTTACTTGAAAGACCTATTTCTCCATTTGGGTCTTTTGAAACTGACCAAAACTGACAAAATACAGTTCAATGGGTGAGTTTTTTTTGTTCTACTTAAATGTCATGACCACATGTGCTGACCGTAGTGTTGGGACACTGGACATTTTTCGTCGTGCTAAACTCGTCTAAATATATCTGCAACTGTCACAATAACAAAGTATTTAGAAACTTAAATCTCAATTATTTTATGTGGAAAGCTTTTACAAAATCCTACAATAAAAAAGATGCTTATAGATTCCACACATATTTGCCAGTACAGTGTTTCCCCTAGATAACTTGCAATGGCGGGGCGCTCATCTCATCTGTGATTTTTGTACAAAGAAACTCATTCGAGCTGCGCGCTGTTAGTACCGGCAGTTTTTGAGCTTGGGGAGGGGGTGGGGGGTGTTCAGTATGTGGGAAGAGGTAGCATTATTGCTGCCTTTAGCTTTTTAGCTAGCACGCCTGTATTGCGCGCAGCTAGCTTGGCGTTACGCCAGTTCCAACCAGTGTGGGGGTGCGTGGTTTGGTAGGTGGGGCGCTAACGGGGCAGGGCGCCCCACTTGTATAATGGTTTGGAAACACTGCAGTATCATTTTTATCGTACACCCCTACTCTCTTTCACTCACGTGAGTGACAACACATAGCACTTATCTATTTATTTATACAAATGACTGATTAGTCTACATGGACCAATAGTTCTGCAGTTTTGAAGCAATCAATGTAGGTTTTGGTTGTTTTGCATTTAACTGAAGCAGCATAACTTGTGCATGATTATTCTCTTCCAATCTTTTAAAAAGGTGCCTCTGCTCAGTCCTTAAAGGTGCACCGATAAATTGGCCCCAATTTCCTTAATTTTGGAAAATTGAAAATCGGCCAACACTTGCATGAGAAACTGATTTTACTGATATATATATATATACACATGTATATATTTTTTGAATAATTGTCTGAACTTCATATATATTTTAAAGCACCTGCTCATGGCCAGTTAAAACAAGTTTGTATTGTTTCTAGGATATTGTTCAAGGTTATGTTTTCAATAAAATAAAATAAAATTGAAGGTGCATTGTGACCTTAGAACACCTGACAGTGTTGCTTATAAAACAAAATCTGAATCGGCAGGTCAGACTTTTTAGAAAATGGTGATTGGCCAGAAAACTGCAATCTGTGCACCTCTATAGTCCTTGACTGAATAGTAGCACATTTCTGATTCAGAAGTACCAAGGTACTAGTACCAAATGAAGACAAGTACTCTTCCTGTTTTGCAGCAAAAGGGACGCAAGACCTGCTGCTTTGTCTGCAATCTCAGTTTTAGTGCTTTTTTCTAGTTCAGTTTTGTACTTATTCAGTTTTTTTATTTTTCTATTTTACCATTTTTCCTACACTATTAATGAAAATAAATGGCCATTACCAAGGCACACACTTAAGTATTTCAGGTAAAAGACAAATATGAAAGTTCTTGCTTTAAATTAGTAGAATCATGAACAATTTATTGAATGCACTGAAATATCCAAATGCTAAAATTGTCTCATCGTTGTGTGCAAGCTCGTTTTTAAAACTATATAGTCAATCATCAGAATTCATATGGTCATAATTCTAAAGTCACTGTTTTCTCCTCTCCACAGGGTTTCTGCGTTAACTTCAACCGTACCTATATGGCGTGTGTGACCGGAGAATTCTGCCAGGCACAGCACCTCACCTCCGTGGAGAAGTGAATCGGCCGCACCCTGAGGGACTACGCTACCCAGAAACCCCCTTGATTGGCAGCACACAAAGAACTGCTAACTTTTTCCAAACGGCCCCGTGGGATATCGCGTAGTCCTTTGGCCTGACAGCTCTGCTCTGTCGCGACCAATACGAAAAAACTTTAGCTTTCTACTTTCTTCTTGAACAAGCCAATCACAAACAGCTCTCCTGAATGGGGTAAACTCTTTGGATGACTCCTGGATAGTGTCATCTTTTTTTTTTCTTTTTATTCATTTTTAAAATTGTTTTTTTTTCCCCTCACATCCCAACATTTTGTGGATACGTTTTTTTTTCATGTGTGCATCATCCTGCAGACTTGTTCTCCCGACCCATCCTTCACGTGTTGTTTTTATTTATTCTACCCATCCCTAAATGTTTAAATCTCCTAGCAGTCTTTGCTGACTTCTGAGCCAAAAGTTCTTTTTTGTAAGAGTATTGTAATTGTTGTTTTTTAAAGCCGTCTTGCCAACATGAACCGCCCCGCTGCAGTCGAGATTGCCCACGGTTGCATGAGGTTCCTCATCACCCACAACCCCACCAACGCCACACTTAACAAATTTACCGAGGTAGGAATAGAGAAAGCTTCATTGTCTTCATTTACGTTCGCAGAGATGCGCTGTGACTAAAAATCCTTCGTTGATTGTTTCACAAGGAGTTGAAGAAGTTTGAGGTGGACACACTGGTGAGAGTTTGTGACGCCACCTACGATAAGGCTCCGGTAGAAAAAGAGGGGATTCAAGTATATGTAAGTCTTAAGGGCTGATTTTGATGACAGCTTTTCTCAGTCACGCAAAAGTGATTCATTTTAATTTTGTGCGTTCTCTTCAGGACTGGCCCTTCGATGATGGAGCCCCTCCTCCCACGCAGATTGTGGATGACTGGCTCAAGCTGCTCAACACCAAGTTCCGAGACCATCCTGGCTGCTGCATCGCTGTGCACTGTGTGGCAGGCCTGGGCCGGTATGCACGTTTTTTTTCTTTGTTGTTTGTTTGTTTTTAGCGATTTAAAAATTCAGTTTTCCTGTCTTCTTAGCCAGCTGGTCATCCTGATTCATCAGTAACACATAAACTGCTGCATGCATATGGAAAGGGCACGAAAAGCACTTGTTCATTCAGTCATCTGGGATTGCAGATTTGAGTTCATTGGCATTTGATTATCTCGGACACCTTTTTCTTCTTGTGGTTAAAAAATCAGCTTCACATCCAACTAATTCATCCCATTTGGCTGAGAGCTTTTATTGGCCCCACAAGAGTCCATTTCATTGCTTTTACCAGTGACTTCTGCTCAGTAAGGTCATCGGGTTCACTCACATGGCCAAAGGAAGTGCTAAACCGTTACAAGTGTCTGAAAAGTCGTCTAGCCCTTCCTCCTCCCATCCCCCCTTTCTTCTTATACCACTTGTTTCTTCAGGAGTGATTACACAGCTTGAGCTGATTGTCTCTTCCGCATGCTGAGTTATATCACAAATGTATACCAGAGTTTAATCTACCCTGTACGTTTTTTTTTTTTTTTCTTGTCTTTGTAAACACTCAAATGATTAGTCTCATTAGTAACGGTTAGTTCTTCCATCTGACTACAAACGAAGGCAGTTTTTCTTGCATATGATGTGAAGATATGAGTCGTCGTCTTCACAAAGCAGTTAATTATTGTGGAGTTGTGTTGAGCAACACAAGTGTGAAAACAATGCAGGCAGAAGCGCACGATGTGGGCGAAGTGGTGTGAAAATGTCCTTCCTGACCACAAGCGCACAGTAATCCCATCGGTTCTCCGTAGTTTCTCATGTCTTGCGTTGCTGAGACATTCCAGTGGTTGTATAATTGCCCGTATTGGTTAGACTGGCGTTTTCTGTACTTGAAAATCATCTGAGTGACTTGGTAGTAGCAGCACATGTGTGTTGTATTTTTGTTACTCGATCCCATCCTTTCCACATTTTGTGTTCTTTTCTCCAGCCTGGTTTCACATACTGTTCCTTAATGAATTATTGTGCAAGAAGAACAGCTTAAGGAACTGTTAGTGCTTAGTTGTGACCTGTCAAGAGGTCTTGGAAACTCTTATATTTACTTTTTCTCACTCTGCCCTCTGGTGAGAAAGACTAGACTGTCTTACTGTAACTTATCACAGTTTTATGTGTTTATGTGTGCGGAGCACTGAGTCTGAGCACAGCACCCCAGCAGGGCACCTGTGAACCTGCGCCACCCCTGCTGATTTCCCAGGCCTTTTTCCCAGGTTTAACCTCACCCTATCCCCACCCCCATCGTTTCACCATCACATTACTATGGAGCTATAACTTTGGTATTTATTCTACATTTCTGTCTTTTCCTGCTCTCCTCGTCTGCTTCGGTCCATCTCAGAGCTCCAGTCCTGGTGGCCTTAGCCCTCATCGAGGGAGGAATGAAGTACGAGGATGCCGTGCAGTTCATAAGGCAGTAAGTACTTTTTCATTTGTTTTGCTTTAGAGATAAAGATTACTGTATATTGAAATGTTAAAAGAATCATACTCTTAAAAAATAAAATTCTGTTGAGATTGTGTGTTAATTTAGAAGTTTTCAACATGATGGTTTTATCCTTTGGACTGTCTGGAAAAACACCTGTAGATTTTTTTTAAACAAAGTCTTAACTAGCTGTAGTAACTCCTTTGCTAAATCATGATTGGGACTTCCTATTTTATTTTAGTTTTACCTTGAAGGTGCAATATGGCATAATTTTATAGTTTAATAAAAAAAAAAAAAATTATCACTGGAATCGTGTCTCAATACCGCCATTGAAATTAAATTGTTCTAAAGAACAGTTTGTTTTTAACACCATTTAAAATGTTTTTTTTATTTTTTATTTGTGTTAAGTAGACTTTTATAAATTCTCAATTTTCAACTTTGTTGTCTTGAACCACTTTGGCTGTGGCTGCCTGCCTGGGAGGAATTGATGGGGGGACAGAACAGCCCCCATAAACCATCTTATCACCAGCAAACTGGTTGGTCCACTACTTAGTGTGGAAAACAGTTTACTTGGGACTCCTCAGACTGATGAAGCCCTCTGGATAGAGGACGAAATGTCTTTCCACAAAAAGAAACTGTCCAGATGACCTGACCGACCATTAATGGGTCATTGTAATACTTGAAAACCAAAAAAAAAAGAGTCCATGCTCAATAATGCAGGTATTCAATCCAACAATTTTCAGTCAGGTCATCTGGACTAGCAAGTATTACCAAGTATTACATTTGTAATACTTGGTTTATTTACATAATGACTAACTGCTGGATGTCTGGCCCCTGAGCTGCTGGCTTTCAGAAACTGTGGCCCCCTGAGTAGTTCATTTGAAAAGCCCTGGTACAGTTATCTAAAACCATAAGAGTTCAAGACGGAGCCCAGACACCTTCAACAACTCTTATTTAGAAATAATTTTCTCCATTTTTGTTTTCTAAAATGGTCGTTTCAGACATCGGAGCACACGTGGGGATATTGAGAAGCCTCGCAAATTGAGATGCTTTACAAGCTTCTCTGGTGAACACCATTCACAGCTTCTCAAAAGTCACAGCTTAGTTTGATGGCCCCAATTTATCAGTGGACCACAACACCCCCCCACCCACACCCCCACCATTGTTTTTATGCTAACTAGTTTCTAGCAGTTCAGTGGCAGATGAGACTTGAAACAGGCAACAAGTAAACAAATGCATGTTGGTCATAAAGTGTGCTCTTTGCTTCTCTCTGGAATGGATGCTGCAACAATCTTGACCTCCCTTGGCCTCTGCCTCTTTTTTTTTTTTTTTTTTTTTGCAGGAAGAGACGTGGAGCCTTCAACTCCAAACAGCTTCTTTACCTCGAGAAATACCGACCCAAAATGCGTCTGCGGTTCAAAGATACCAACGGCCACAACTGCTGTGTCCAATAAGCTGCCCATCAGTTTAATGTGCATCTAGTCTGGAATCTTCCAACACAAGGTTAAAAAAAACAGAATAAAAAGAAGAGTGCTATTAGTAATTATTGTGATTTCTAAACACTGAGTCATGGTTAGTTGATCAGAGCAATCGGATGATCAAACGAATGAAACTAAATGTGGGGATCCACCAGCCGAAACAACGGAAGGTCAAAGCACACAGATGGGCCCGGTTCTACTGTTCAACCACGGGCCTGAATTTTTCAACTCAAGTCCATCCTGGTCCTTTTTAAAAAAAAAAAAAACAATTTATTTTTTTTTCATACTGTTTTTGTTTCAGTTGTAATCATGGGATAATACCTTCCATTATGTGAATTTTTACTTTTTACACAAATGTGATGAAAGCTAAACATGTCATGATTCTGTTTCTTATGTCCACTACTTATTAAAACGATCAGGCCTTTTTTAAAGAAAAAAAACAACAACTTTGAACACATTGTGACTCTGTTTTTATTTTTACCTTTTTTTTTTTTTTTTGCACAGAACGTGAAAGTTTCACCTGAAAATGCAGTAACCTTTTTCCTTGTACTCTTCACTCGCTTTAAGTCACTTTGAATTTAGGGGGTTCACGGAGTGTGAATGTCGATATTTATTCACCAGAAACCGTGTGGCAGGTTTCATTTTGGCAGGAGACATGGACACTTTGTTTTCCAGTAGTTTTTTTTTCTTCTTTTTAATAGTTTAAACGCTTTTCTTTTGTTCCTTAATTAAACCTTGGAGTGCAATAATCAGTCCACCTCAGATACACTTATCAAACCCTGCTGAACATCTCACACACACACACACATTTCAAACCCACAAAGAACTGGTGGTACTCTTGATTTCATTTCCTCTACAGAATGAGATGGGGAGTCTCATCAAGATTTCCCAGAATATGCACACTTAAACTCATCCAAACAGAACCTGAGCTCCAATGTGACGGGCAGGGCGGAGAAGAATGAAAATGGTCAGTTTTTTATCATTGTACCCATTTTGAAAACATCCCCAATTCGTATTGGTTCTTTAAAAATAAATACATTGAAATAAAAAACGGCATTGTGTTTTCTGTTCACGTTTTTTTTAATGGGCTGGGTTAAAACAAACAAACAAAAAAAAAAGCTGTTGGGACAGGAATGTGGGCGGAGGTTACTTTTCAAAAATTAAGACGATGTATAATTAAGTTTCCCTGCTTTGCCGGTACATGCTCTAACTTTTATGACCTCGAACTTTGCGGCCTCAAATCAGCATTTTTGTCGTCCTTTTCTTCTTACCAAGGTGTTTCTTCAGTGGTATTTGCTCATCAAGCGTGTCAGTCAGTAGCTGTCCAACATGTTCTTTTCCCTGCGGAGGGTGACTCAGCAACACGTGGAAAACCCAGGACTGATACTGAGAAATGACTCACGCCCCTCAAACTGTAGATCAGATCCCATCGAGGCAGGAAGTAGGTGACGGAGCGTCCTCTGCTGTTCAAATTACATTACTATAGAAACTGGCTCGTGAAGCTTTTAGATCCACTACAAATAAAACGATGAGAGGGGTAACGGAACAGCAAAGTGACGTTTGCGTGTTTTCACTGATCAGGCAGTCGACAAGACGTCAGCAGCGCTGCAGAGCCACAAATGAGCTCAGGCGTTACTCTGAATAAAATGAATCATTTACCCCTGGAGCTCACGCCGAGTGGAGCTGGATTTGCATTCCTAACGTCGTTCATTGCTTCTGTTTGGATTTGTTGTAGAGCAACATGCTTGAGATGCAGCAGGACTGACTGAAGCCGTTTCTGTTGTTGACCTAGAAGCCAACAGCTGGGCCTTTAGGGTCACTGAGGTTCAGATGAGTTGGAGGAACGGATAAAAAAAACTAACATGGCTTTAAATGAGATTACCTTTTTTCTAGTTGCGTGCCACTTTTTCCACCGTGTGTCGTGATGAAAAAGGATCTTGTGACTCAGCATGTAGTCGTGCTGAGTCACTTTCTGAAAGACTAGGATCAACGTAGACGTGGCAGAGGCCTGTGTTTATCTGTAAATAAACTAAGAATCTGCTTCTCTTTAAAATGCCATCTTCCTGGTAAAGTGGATCAGGAGAACATTTGACCCAGAAGGAGTACAGAGTCTAGACCCCTGATAAAAATGAATAACATTTGTAATGTAAAAAAAAAAACTTCCCACCTGTTTTGAGAACCTGCAATATTCATGTTGAAAAAAAACTGTTCGGGAAAAGTATGGAAGTACAACATACTGAGTGCATAGATGTACTTTTGATTTAATCTGTCTTTAAGAAGGGGTCCATGAGAAAACTGGACTTGGTAGTCTTGGCCCACTCTTAAAAAAATGTTTAAGAAGTTTTAAATCCCTACATGATTAATATGGTTTCTTCATCTGCAAGTGTATTGAGAGAGAAAGTAATAAATACCTAGAGATATTTTATTTTTATTTTTTGTATGGGCTCCATTGGAAAAAAAGCCTTGGCCACCTCTTGCATAAAAGTGGAGCTCAGGGGTGTCTTAACGTGCGACCCAATGGCCATTTGCAGCCCTCGGGGTGATTTTGTGCAGAAACGACTGCAATTTAAAATTGGTGTATTTTTATCCTGCAGACTTGAGAGAATGATGCAGACCTGTAGATTTTATTGATACTTTGTATGTGTATTTTTTAGGTTCAACAGCAAAACGGAGTGGGGAGGGGGAACATCTGAAAATGAGCAACATTAATAAGTACAATACAAACCTTCAATATAATTAATCCAATCATTATATACAGATTTTGTCCATTTCTTGTTACAGCACCACACACTTTTACAGACTTCTACCGAAAAGTAGATTTTTGGATAATCATAAAACTTGGCTTAATACAGCAGGTGTTTTTCAAAGAAGACAATGCAGATGATTTATTAATCTATATACGATGGGTATTTTTAAAGGAATATAAAGTGATATAACCGACATACAAGTTGATCAACTTTATTAGGTCTCTAACAGGTTTCTCTTGCAAATGAATCATGACTCACTGAGGCTAACCTGTTTAAAGACTGAATGAAAAAAGTAGTGTCACTTCAATATGAGACGGTGTAAACCACTGCCAGCTGTACACCTTTCCAGTACTTTGAGTGGACCGTCCACGGTTCTAAAGTGTGAAGAACCCCTTTTCAGTGACTGTTTTTGAAGAACGGTTATACTTTGGATGGATGGATGAATAGATAGATGGATGGATTATTAATCCCAGGGGGACATTTGAGACATCAAACACAAATAAAAAAAAAAAAAGGATAAATATGCACGTGGTAGGGAATATTGCGTTCATGATTAAACTATGTATACATACAGTACATACACATCTAAGCATACACACATATACATACATTATATATATATATATACACACACACACACACAGTGAGGAAAATAAGTATTTGAACACACTGCGACTGCAAGTTCTCCCACTTAGAAATCATGGAGGGGTCTGAAATTTTCATCTTAGGTGCACGTCCACTGTGAGTCCACTGTGAGAGACATAATCTAAAAAATAACAATAATCCAAAAATCACAATGTCTGATTTTTTTATAATTTATTTGTGTGTTACTGCTGCAAATAATTATTTGAACACCTGCTAATCAGCAACAATTCTGGCCCTCAAAGACCTGTTAGTCCACCTCTATAACGTCCACCTCCACTCCACTTATTATTCTAAATTAGAAGCACCTGTTTGAGGTTGTTAGCTGCGTAAAGACACCTGTCCACCCCACACAATCAGTAAGACTCCAACTACTAACATGGCTAAGACCAAAGAGCTGTCCAAAGACAAATTTGTAGACCTCCACAAGGCTGGAAAGGGCTACGGGGCAATTGCCAAGCAGCTTTGTGACAAAAGATCAACTGTTGGAGCAATTATTAGAAAAAGGAAGAAGCTAAACATGACTGTCTCCTTTGGACTGGGGCTCCATGCAAGATCTCACCTCGTGGCGTATCAGTGATCCTAAGAAAGGTGAGGAATCAGCCCAGAACTACATGGGAGGAGCTGGTCAATGACCTGAAGAGAGCTGGCACCACTGTTTCCAGTAATATGCTAAGATGTCATAGTGTAAAATCATGCATGGCCTGGAAGGTTCCCCTGCTTGAACCAGCACACGTCCAGGCCCGTCTGAAGTTTGCTCGTGACCATTTGGATGATCCATAGGAGTCATGGGAGAAAGTTCTGTGGTCAGACGAGACCAAAATAGAACATTTTGGTCTTAATTCCACTCGCCTCCACACAGATCTTCTCTAGATCTGCCAGGTTTCTGGGCTGTCGCTGAGAAACAGAGTTTGAGCTCCCTCCAAAGATTTTCTATAGGGTTTAGGTCTGGAGACTGGCTAGGCCACTCCAGAACCTTGATATGCTTCTTATGGAGCCACTCCTTGGTTCTCCTGGCTGTGTGCTTCGGGTCATTGTCATGTTGGAAGATCCAGCCACGACCCATCTTCAATGCTCTGACTGAGGAATGGGCCAAAATCTCTGCTGCCGTGTGTGCAGACCTGGTGAAAACTACAGGAAACCTTTGACCTCTGTAACTGCAAACAAAGGTTACTGTACCAAATATTAACATGGATTTTCACAGGTGTTCAAATACTTATTTGCAGCAGTAACACACAAATAAATTATTTTAAAAAATCATACATTGTGATTTCCAGATTTTTTATATATATATATTTTTTAGGCTGTTTCTCACAGTGGACATGCACCTAAGATGAACATTTCAGACCCCTCCCATGATTTTTAAGTGGGAGAGCTAGCAAAGTCGCAGGGTGTTCAAACACTTATTTTCCTCACTACATGTGGGTTGCCGCAGGTTTACAAGGCTCTGTTTTTACTGCACGGGGAGGAGTTGAACAGTCTGATGAACAAAAGACTTCCAGAATCTGTCCATGGAGCAGTTTCTGACAACAGAATAAAATGGACTTTCTATGCACAACAAAACAAAAAGCAATAGATCGACAGATCAAATGAGGTAAATCTTTTTAAAAATTGTATTATAAGGTTAATGTTTATGAAGCTTTTTAATATATTGGATCTACAACAACTCCTATACCAACATTTGCATACTTTTGTCACAAGTCCTTTCATCTCGACAGTTCTGGCCCACACATGTAAAAGATCTAGCTCCACTACTGCAATTTGTGAAGAATAAATTGGTTCAGCAAGGACGAAATCCTCTCTGATGGAGAGCAGTCATTACAAACTCCTAAAAGCCATCTGTGTTTTAGAAATAATCCTATAGATTTATGATTTAATTTAATCCATTAACACTCTGTGCCAAAGCCTCTTAATAATTCTTAAATCCACACACTCCCTTCATTGGCAGACCTCAGGAACTCCTATATTTGCTTTAAGTAACACCGGAGATAAAGGCCTAAAGGTTCGGATTCGTCTTCAAGAAGACCTTGATCTCTTGCAGCACTCACTTCTTTCTGCAGAGCTGATCTAGGCTGCACCACTCCGGGGGAATCCATTGTGAATTGTGGCGCTTTAAAAATGCATGTTCGCTCTCGGCTCTGGGTCTTTAATGAGGTGTGTCTGAAATATTTGATAGCCTCGCGCTCATTTGAAAAACAAATACGTTTACGCCCATTAATATTTGATACGGAAATGAATATATGTAAAACACATACATTAATTAGTCTGTTTTGATCAATTGTCTCCGTCAAATGCCGGAGCGCGTGTTTCCGCACGGTTCCTTCCCACAGGCTACGCTGCCGCCGTGTCTCTCTTCTTCGTCGCTTCGGAACAAAACCCATTTAACTTTCAGAGGGGGGGGTTTAACATTTCCTACGTTCATGCACACCAGAGGAAATTAACCGTTTGCTCAGCAGCGAGGCCGGTTTGTAAAATAAGTGGCACAGAGCGTCAAAGTGTTTGTGTGATTTGCTACTTTTGAAAGATTTGCAAAATAAGGCAGTGTGGCGAAACGTGATGTTTCAGCTCGAAAGCATTTGTTGTTAACTGTGACGTTAGGTTATATCTTGTAGGAAATTAGACACGTTTTTTTGACAATTACTGTTTTTTAATAATATTCAGA